ATAAATGATTTGGAGGAAAATGTAACCGGTCTGATTAGTAAGTTTGCCAATGACACAAAGGTTGGTGGAATTGCAGATGGTGATGAGGACCGTCACTAATATTATTTAGGAAAGGAAACTGCCATCCTTACCTGGTCTGGCCTAGGTCATACAGCAATATGGTTGACTCTTAAACTGCCTTCTGGGCAATTGGTAGTGGATAATAAATGCTGGCCTAGCCAGTAATACCCATTAGCCGTGAATGAATCTTAGAAAAAAAATACACAAAATGTACTCTGATTTCAATGTCTGCCACCAAGAGTGGCTTGGAAGCAGCACTACTGATGGAGCTAGCCAGGTCCTAAAGGACATAGGTGCTAGATTGGGTCTGCGACCCATGTGACAACAGTTCTGGTGTTGTGAGGATTGAGTCAGGACATGGAAGAAGGTCCTCATGCCCTAAAATTATTGAACTCAAAACAGAGTCCGGAAGTCTGCAGTGTCCCCAAGCGAAAACAAGGTGCTGTTCTTCTAGCTTGCGCTGAGCTTCACTGGAGGACTGCAGCAAGCCCAAGAAAGATGTTGGCCAGGGAACATGGTGTTATGTTGAAGTGGCAGGTAACTGGAAGCTCAGGGTCATTTTTGCGGACAAAATGTAGGTGTTCACAAAGCAGCCGTCCCTCTGTGTTTTGTCTCCCCAGTGTAGAGCAGGCCACATCATGAGCAGCAAATGCAGTAGACTAGATTGAGTGAAGTGTAGGTAAATCACTGCTTCACCTGGAAGGTATCTCTGGGGCCTTAGATAGAGAGAAGGGAGGAATTAAACGGGCAAGTGTTGCACCTTCTGCAATCACAGGGGAAAGTGTTGTGGGGATGTGGGAGGAGTTAGGAATGGAGGAGGGGTGGACCATGCTCCCTATGGAAAGCTGATAAGTGAGGGGATGGGAATACCTGTGTGGTATTTGCATCCTGCTGGATGTGACAGAAATGGCTTATGATCCTTTTGAATGTTGATACTGGTGTGGTGGAAAATGAGGCCCAGGAGGACCTTATCGATGTTATGGGACACAAGTAAAGGGTCGAGGGCAGAAGTGTGGGAAATGGGTCGAACATGGCTAAAGGCCCTGTCAGCCATAGTGTTGGGGAATTCTTGGTTGAGGAAGAAGGTGGACATTTTGGGGGCCCCTGTTTGGATGGTGGCATCATCAGAAAAGATGTGACAGTGAGAAACTAGAAGAATGGAATGCAATTTTTACAGGAAACAGAGTATGAGAGCGTATAGCCCAGATAGCTGTGGAAAACAGGTTTGTAGTGAATATTTCCCCAGAAATGGAAACCAATGTCAAGGAAGGGATGAGTTGGAGATGGACCAGGTGAAAGTGAGCACGGGGTGAAATTGGAAGCAAAATTGATAAATTTTGTGGAGAAAGCAGCACCGATTATGTCATTGATGCACTAGAGAAAGAGTTGTGGGTGGGGGCCAGAGCAGGAATGGAACAAGGAATGTTCCACGTACCCCACGTAGAGACAGGTCAAACCTGGGGCCCATGTATGTACCCATGGCCATACTTTTGATCTGGAAAAAAAATCAGAGGAATTAAAAGAGAAGTGTTTTTCAAAGTGAAAATGAGCTTGGCCAAGCAGAGGATGATGGTGTTGGATGGGGATAGTTCAGGCATATTTTCTTCCAGGATGAAGTGGAGAGCCCTAAGACCATTCTGATCTGGGATGGACATGTATAGAGATTGCACTTTCAAAATGGAGAGGAGGCAGCTGGTGCCCGTAAACTAGAGATTCTGAAACTGACACAAAGCCTCAGAAGAATTGTGATGTAAGTTGGAAAGGACCAGAGAGGGGAAGGAAAGAATTGGGTTGAAGTAGGAAGAGTTGAGCAGAAGCGAGCTGTAGGGGCTGAGAGACTGTGAACTCAGAGGCTGTTTGGGGGTGCAGGCAGTGGCGATCTCCAAATGAAATGAGATTAATGACCATTGAGAACACAATAGCCTGGTGTTCAATGGTGGGGTCATGATGCAGGAAGAAAGAAGTAATTGTCTGAGATCTGATGCCCAACCTCCAAAATGTAGAAATCAGTATGCCAGACAACAACAGCACCATCCTTGTCAGCAGGCTTCATTACAAAGTTGGACCTGATAATATGAAGTCAGTGGGAGATATGTATAAATGGGTGAGGGGCGCAGAAATTAAGGCAACTATTGTCATGCCAACTGTTCTCAATGAAACTGTCCTCTGAGCAATTAGGGATGGGCAAAAAATACTGGCCTAGCCATCAATGCCCTCATCCTGTGAATGAATTAAAGAAAAGCTGGGGGGAGAATGTTGTGATAAGTGAAGGGTTCTGAGGGACAGAGAGAGGACTCTAGCCCATAGAAATGTGCACAGAGACGGAGGCTATGGAAGAAGATTCTGTTTCTGTTTCTTTTTGTTTCCGAGTTCCAACTTCCTCAGTTCTTTACCTTCTGCGAGGAGTAGCAGATTTCCTTCTCTTTAGGATGTCTGTCAACTACGTGTTTCTATAATCTGGTTTCATGACACCCCTCATCGTCTCACCAATATTCCGAATTTAATATCAGTTGGATCACAAGCTTCACTTTGGACTCCTGTGTCGACCTGCTCCTCGTGTATTTTAATAGTCATTTGACCCAACTAGTTTTCTCCTAAGTTGTGTGTCACCACCTCTTGAGTCATTGTCTCTTGTTACTGTTACTGTGGATGCACTGCGCTAAAGCTGGCTGCTTCTCAAATTCTGTCTCTATTTAAGGTATATTCTAATTAATTTGTTCAGAAACATTATTAACCTCTAGAACAAGTAGGGCTTGAACCTCTGCCACCGGACTGAAATGTAGAGACAGCAACGCTGCGCAATTAAAGCCCTGCATCTCAGATTTTGTGAATTTTTTTTGTTTTTAAATTTAGCTGATATTTCTAAGCAACCTGTTCAGAGATGTTATTATACACCTCTGGAGCAGATGGGGCTTGAACTTGGGCTTCCCAGTCCAGGGGTAGGGACACTACCACTATGCCACAAAAAGACCCTCTCTTCTCGGATTCTGGCTTTGAATCATGCTGTTCAGACGCATTATGACATGTCTGGCACAGATGGGACAAGAACCCAGGCCTCACGGCTCAGACGTAGAGACACCACCATTGCGTCACAAAAGGCTTGTTCTCGGATTGTGTTTTTTTAAAAACCTATTTTTCTAAACAATCTACTCAGAAACATTGTGACACACCTCTAGGGCAGGTGGGACATGAACCCAGGCCTCCCCACACAGGTGTAGGGACACTATCGCTGTACCACAACAGGACCCACTCTTCTCAGATTAAGTATTTTTTAAATTTAATCTATTTTTCTAATCAAACTATTCAACGATGTTATTACACACCTCTGGAGCAAGTGGGGTTGAATTTAGGCCTCCTAATCCCAGGTTGGGATGCTACCAGTGTGTCACAAGAGTCCCTCTTCTCAGATTATGAATATTTTATAAACAACTTGATCAGAGACGCTAGACTTGGTGGGATTTGAACCACGTTCCCCAGGCTCGGAGGTAAGGACTCTATCACTGTGTCACAAGAGCTCATTCTTCTCAGATTATGATTTTTGTCCTTGTTTTTATTAATCTTTAGATATAAATCAGCCTTAGGTGCTGTACGTATTTTTCATTAACCTATTTTTTCTAATCAACCTGTTCAGAGATGTTTCTGCACTTTCTTCAAGTGGGATTTGAACCTTGTTCAAGGATTGGGACACTGCCATTGTGCCACAAAAGGGCCCCCTTTCTCAGATTATTCTTTTGTTTATTGGACTTGAACCCAAGCCGCCTGCTGCAAGGGTAGGGATGCTACCATTGTGCCATAAGAGAACTCCACAATAGCCTGCCACTTGATTGTGTGGCAGAACACAAGTGCAGAGGAGTGACATGAGCAGCCACTGTTGGTAGAAAAAGCCTACTGCACTTAGTATTCCCACGCGTCTCCCGTCCAAGTACTTTCGGGCGTTTTCAGATTAGTATGCCTGTGGGCCTTTCTTAGATTATAAAGCCTGAAGGTTAAGTTATTTCAGCTGCAGGCATTTACCTCGGGTTGTTGTCAGGGCAATACTGAGTTTCCTGGAGTTCCCACAGTGCACTGGTATGGTGCGGACTTGAGGATCACGTGACTAGGCTAATATTTATCTCCTAGTCCTGCTTGCCTTTAAGGTAAAGATACTTAACCTCAACATTTGCTTTAAAACACACGTGCTACATCCCTTCATATGTTAGGACATGCAGTTAACAGTGGCAATGGGTAAAATAGGTTGTTGGAATGTTGTGGCTGTGCTTATACACATTACAGCAGCTGTAGCACAATGCAGTCCACATACGGACAAATTAATGTGACTGAAACTTCAACTGTTTTAAAAGAACATTCGGAAATCCATTTAAGGTGCCCTAAACTCTAAAGGATTATGGACCAAGAGCCGAAAGATGGAATTAGGCTAGATTGCACTTTTGTCTAACTTCGACGGACTGGCTGGCCTCCTCCTGTGCCATAAATTGTTTTATGCTTCTGCTGAAGCCCTGAGAAACCCCTGCATTTAAATTGTGAGAACTGGGTTGATGATTTAATAATCTTGATTTTCTAACTGTCAGTTAACTTGTTTGTTTTCTAAAATGTTACCAGGTAGTAGTCTGTGTTTACTCTGTTAACTTACAAGCTGCTGTTATGTTCTCAAGTTTAAGAGGTACCACAAGATTTAGGAGCAGAATTTAGCCATTCAGCCCATCAAGTCAGCACCGTCATTCGATCACGGCTGATGTGTTTCTCAACCACGTTCACCTGCCTTTTCCCCACAATCCTTGATCCCCTTACTAATCAAGATTTTTTTTTTTGATCTTAAGTACACCTTTAATTCTCACTAAATGCATCTGTGAGAAAACTAACCGATAGTATGCTTCCAGGCTGCCTTTACTCATGTTAAGTAATCTTGCCTTGAATCTGACTGATTTTTTTTTTGTACACAGAATGACCTCTGCTAATGTAGATTATGAAGATGCCTGTCTGATTGTCCGGTACTTGGCCTCCATGAGGCCGTTTGCACAGAGTTTTGATATTTATTTGACACAGGTGAGTGGCGGTATAGCACTGCTTTTGAAGGGAATTTGATCAATACTTGTCTGGAAGAGGGATTTAAAAGGACTGACTAATTTCACTTTATTCATATTATGGGGAGTGGTAATATCACTAGACTAGTGATTCAGAACACCAGATTAATGTTCAGGTTTAATTAATTAATGGGTTTGAATCCCACTATGGCAGTTGAAGAAATTTCAATTCAATATAAAGAAAAACCGGAATAGAAAGTGAGCCTCGTGGTAACCATGTAACCGTTGTCTATTATTATTAAACAACCTATCTTGATTACTAATATCCTTTTGAGAAGAAAATCTGCAGTCCTTTCCTGGTCTGGCTCGAGACCAATAGCATTGTGGTTCTGATTTTGATTATTTTTCTTCTGTATTCATTCATGGGATGAGGGCTGGCTTGGCAGCGTTTATTGCCCATTCCTGATTGGGTCAGCCACTTTGCTGTGGGTCTAGAGTCACATGTAGTCCAGGCCAGGTAAAGCTGGCAGATTCTTTCTGCCAAGATTCCTTCCTTAAAGGACATTTGTGAACCAGATGGGTCTTTCCTGACAATCAACAATGATTTCATGGTCATCATTCAACTCTTACGTTTTTTTTTAAATTTGAATTCAAATTCTACCATCTGCCGTGGTGGGATTCGAACCTAGGTTGCCAGAGCATTAAAAACTGAAAGAACTGCGGATGCTGTAAATCACAAACAAAAATACAAGTTACTGGAAAAGCTCAGCAGCTCTGGCAGCATCTGTGAAGAAGAATCAGAATTAACGTTTCTGGTCCGGTGACCATTCCTCAGAACAGTTCTGATTCTGATTTTTCTTCACAGATGCTGCCAGGTCTGCCGAACTTTTCCAGCAACTTGTGTTTTTGTCGCCAAAATATTATCCGAGTCTCTGGATTAACAGTCCAGCGATGATACTACTAGGCCATCGGCTCCTTTTAATTGCCCTCTAGGCCATAAAGCGCACAGAGTAAGTGCTGACCAAGCCAGCACAACACACATCCTGTGAACAAATAAAAGAAAAAAAAAATGTGGATTTAGAAAAGGTATAACAAACTTGGCTATTGGGGAGAGGTGGTGAAAGTTAAAATTTACGGTTGCAATATGCATTGTCTGTAGAAGGAATAGATTTTGTACCGGGGAACCTTTCATTTCAAACTCCTCTATGTCCATTGTTTTTTTTTCTTATTGAATGTGCGCACTGTTCATCTGTTATCCATTCCTAATTGCTCTCGAACTGGGTAGCTTGGTAGGTTACTGCAGAGAGCAGTTAAGAATCAACCCATTGCCATAAAAACATCAATCAACAATAGTTTCATGATCGTCATGATTAGAACCAGCTTTTATATTCCAGATTTATTAATTGAATTTAAATTCCACCATCTGTTCTGGTGACTTCCGTCCCTTGGACCACCAGTCTGTGCATTAGACATGATGATATATTCTATTTGCAGATTCTGCGTGTACTAGGAGAAAGTGCGATCGCTGTACGAACAAAGGCTATGAAGTGTCTATCTGAGGTAGTTGCTGTGGATCCCAGCATTCTTGCAAGGGTAAAGATTTATTTTCCTTGTACGAACATTTCCACTGTATAGTTGTTTACAAACAACACTTTCAAGAAACTGGTATGATGTATTTGAAGTCGTCAGCGCAAAGCAAACTTTCCAACACTAGGACTGGAAAACCAGGATGCCACTTGCCAAAATTAAGTGAAAGCAACTTTCTATCAATACGGCAATATGGTTGACTCTTAACTGACCTCTGGGCAATTAGGGATGGGCAATAAATGCTGCCTAGCCAGTGATGCCTTCATCCTGTGAATGAATAAAACAAAAGTGCCTGAAGGCACAGCATCATTCAGAGCACAATTAAAGACTAAGATGCACAAGTGACTAGAGTTTGAGCAGCCATCTATAAGGATGGGAAACTGAAAGAGATTCAGAGAGGAAGGTATCTAAAAGAAAGGTGGGAGTTTCACAATCAAGGCAAAGCTTAACAGGAAGCTAATATAGGTCAACAGACAAGGTTTAAATGATGTTTAATTGGGACTTAATGCAAATAAGACCAGGAATAAAAGTTCAATAAAAGTATAAAAATCATAGGGTAACAGTAGGGCATTTCAATTTCTCTGCTTTTCACTCGGATAGGCAAAGTGTGAAAGTCTTTGAGGAGACAGAATTCTTGTAATGTATCCAAAAGAGCTTATGAGCCAGCATGCAGGAAGTCCTGCAAGAAAGGGGATAGTGCTGGACCGAATTTTAGTGACTGAAGTTGGACAAATGGTTGATGTGGCAGTAGGGGAGCATTTCAGTCGTAATGACCACAATTCATTCAGATTTAGCGTCTTTATGGATAAAGACAAGGATGGATCAGAAATAAATCAGAATTGGTGGAAGGCTGATTTCTTAAGACAAGAGAGGACCAAAGTGGACTGGGAACAGTTCCTTGAAGGAAAATCCACTTCAGAGCAATTGGAGACAGCCAAAAGGGTAATAATGAGTATACGGGACCAACATGTTGTATAGGTGGCAGGTGGATCCATATCCAGAGCACATTGGATGTTGAGAGATCTTAGAATTTAGATGAGGGGAAAAGAAAGGGGAGCTGAAGGCTGAAAACAGTTATCGAAAGTGCAGGGAGTTACTCAGAAAAGAAACTAGGAGGGTGAAGAGAGGATGTTTTTAAAAAAAAAAGAAACACTGGTGAATAATATGAAGGAAAATCTGAAGATGTTTTTGAAAGCATACTAGGGGAAAGAAATAACCAGGGAAAGAGTAGGGCCCATTTGGGACCAAAGTGGCAATCTGTGTTTGCATCCAGAAGACATAGCTGAGGTTTTAAATGAGTACTTTATGTTTGTATTCATTGTAGAAAAAGCAACTGTGGGTGTAGAAATCAGGGAGGAGAATGTGATATAATTGAATGAATTAGCATTAAGAATGAGGAGGTATTAGTTTTAATAAAACTAAAGTTTTGAAAGTGGATAATTCCCAGGCCCAGATGAGATGTATTGCAAATTGCTGTGGGAGTTGAAGCAGGGGATTGCAGGTGTTCTGACATTGTCAAATCCTGGCTGGGCTCAGGAGAGTTTCCAGAGGACTAGAGGATAGCTAATATGATGCCATTATTCAAGACGGGTGGTAGGGATGAACCAGGAAACTACAGGCTCGTGAATTTAATATCTGGTAGGCAATATATTGGAAAAATATTCTGAGGGACAGATTTAATCTCCGGTTGGAGAGGTAAGGATTAATCAAGGATAGTCAGCATAGCCTTGTATAGGGGAAGATTATATACAAATTTGATTGAATTTTTAGACTAAGTGCGTAAGTGAAGTGAGTAGAGCCGATGTGGTCTATATGAACTTTAGTAAAGCTTCTGACAAAGTCTCACATGTTAGGCTTAAGCTAAGAGCACATGGGCTCCAAGGCGAGTGGAAGATTGGATCTAAAATTGGCTTCATGGCAGGAAGCAGAGAGTGATGGTTGAAAGGTATTTTTGTGACTGGAAACCTCTCTCCATTGACATATCCGAAGGTTTCTTTGTCTTTTATTCATTCACCGGATGAGGGCATCACTGGCCAGGCAGCATTTATTGCCCATCTCTAATTGCCCAGTGGGCAATTAAGAGTCAACCACATTGCTATGGTTCATTGTTGAGTCCCTTGTTTGTAGTGTACATTCATGATCTAGACATGAATGCCGGAGGTATGATCAGTTAAGTTCATAAATGACACACAAGTTGGCAATGTAGTAAATAGGAGGAAAACAGACAGCAGGACAGTAGACGGGCTGAACAATGGCAAATGGAATTTAATCCTGAAAAGTATTAGATAATGCGTTTTGGGTGGCAGTGGCACTCCGGTACATACAGAGGATCAGAAGCCTGGAGTCACATTCCTTAAAAGACATTAGTGATCCAGATGGGCTTTTATGACAATCAACATTAGACCAGCTTTTTTTATTCCAGATTTCCACTGAATTCAAGTTTCACCGTATGCCATAGTGAAATTCAAACTCCTGTCCCCAGATCAGGAGTATTGTGGAATTTCTTCACTTAGAGGTTCGTGAATCTGTGGAACTCATTGTCACAGAAGGCTGTGGAGGCAAAGTCACTGAGTTTATTTATGACAGGGATAGGTCGGTTCTTGATTATTAGGAGATCTAAGGTTTTGGGGAGAAGGCAGGGTTGAGAAACACATCAACCATGATTGAATGGTGGAGCAGCCTTGACAGGCTAAATGGCCTAATTCTGCTCCTATGTCTTATGGGTCTTATGGATGCAGCTCCAAAAATACTCAAGAAAATTGACACTGTCCAGGAAACAGCAGCCCACTTAACTGCTGTTCCATCCACCACATGCACTTCCTTTACCACCAATGCACAGTGGCAGCACTGTATATCAACTGCAAGGTACACTGCAGAGATTCACCAAAGCTGCTCCAACAGCACCTTCCAAACCCATTACTTCTACTACCTTGAAAGGCAAGAGCAGCAGATGTATGTGAGCAGCACCACAAGATTCTCCAAGTCCCACACCATTCTGATTTGGAAATATCTTATTATTTCATCGTTGTTGTGAGGTCACAGTCGTGGAACTATCTTCCTAACAGGTGTTCCTGATTCCAAAGACTTAAGCAGTTCAAGAGGGCAGCTCACCACTGCCTTCTTGAAGGTAACTAGGAATCAGCAATAAATGCTAGTGAGTGACACCCACAGTCTGTGAATAGATTTTAAAAAATTCTTGTGATCTTTTACACTTTATTAAGCGATCACTATTGCTTTAAGTTCTTCTTTCCCCTTGCCCCTGCCTTATTACTATTTTTGGGATATTTTATATGGTTCTGTCTGGTTATCCTCCGAGACCAATGCTAGCTTTAGTCACTTTATCTTTCTTTATATATACTTGCAGTACTTGCAGAAGGTTTTGCTGTGTTTTTATCTTTCATCTTGTTTTCACTAATTTCTCTTCCTTAGTCGGTTTGGTTTTGCTGAATTCTAAGTTATTTTCTCAATCTTCAAGCCTACTACAAATGTTGGCAACATTGTTCGCCCTTTCTTTCAATTTAATGCCTCTGATTTCTGCTAAGATGCACCAGGCCAAGCAGGCAAGCATTAGAATAGCCAGCTTAGAGATAACAAAGGGTTTCACAAGCAGATGAGCTGAGCCAGAGACTGAGTTTGGCCTGGAATAAACTGTCCATGTTTCATAAGCCCACAAGAACTTGGAAAGCCCAATAGCTGTTTATACCATAACTTAACTACCATAATACTGGCCTTGACGATTGAGTTGTTGACTTTGTCATCAATGCAAACTTCTCAGGAGACGGTGCTACTGAGGTAAGTAAATTTGGAACTGCTTCAACCCTTTTGTCATTGAGTATAGTAACTGACTTTATATACTGCTTTTGTGGGGCACTTTGCTGCCTTCAGAATTTTTGTTGCTGATACTGAGACTGAAACCATCAAATGCAGATTAAAAAGAACGAAGGACAGTACAGCATCAGAACAGGCCTTTCGGCCCACCAGGGCTGTGCTGATACATGATGCCTTTCTAAACTAAAAACCTTATGCCTCTACACAGTATGTATCCCTTTTATTCCATTCCTATTCATATATCTGTCAAAATGTCTCTTAAACGTTGCAGTTGTATCTGCTGCCTCCACCAATTCTAGCAGTGCATTCCAGGCACTTCAGGCACTCTGTATAAAAAGAAAACTTGTCTCCCATCTCCTTTAAACTTACCCCCTTTTACCTTAAACCTATAACCCTTAGTAATTGACATTCCTACCCGGGGAAAAGACTCCGACTATCTATTCTATCTGTACCTCTCAGTTGTAAACTTCCATTGGGTTGCCTCTCATCATTCGACATTCAAGTAAAAACAAACCAAGTTTGTCCAATCTTTCCTCATAGCTAATACGAGCAAACCAGGCAACATCATGATAAACCGTTTCCGTGCCCTCTCCAAAGCCTCCATATCCTTTGGGTAGTGTGGCAACCAGAACTGCACACAATATTCCAAAGGTGGCCTAACTAAAGGTCCGTACAGCTTCAACATGACTTGACAATTTTTTTACTCTCTGCCCCAACTAATGAAGACCAGCATGCTTTCTTGATCACTTTATCCACTTGTGTTGCCACTTCCAGGGAACTGTGGACCTGTACGCTTAGATCCCTCTGTATATTGATGTTGCTATAGTGCCATTTATAGTATACTTCCTGCATCACCTCGCATTTGTCCAGATTAAACTCTAACTGCCATTTCTGTGCCCAGGTCTCAAGCCTTTCTAGATCCTGCTGTATCCTCTAGCAATCCTCCACCCTATCTGTAGCTCTTCCAACTTTGTGTCATTTGCAAATTTACTGCTTCAACTACCTATATTCTCCTCCAAGTCAGTTATACATTTATATGACTGGGGTCCCAGCACCAATCCTTGATACTCTGGTAGGAGGTCCTGTTTGAGAGTGTCAGATGGTTCAGGAGGACTGTTTCAAGTATTCTTCCAGCACCCCACAGTTGTCAAGTTCGATTTTGTTTGCTTTTTTCATCT